AAGTTTTAAAAATTAAGCGAAAATGTACTAAACCCCTATGACAGGTTTCATTTATAAAATATTATTTATAGTTCTATTAAGCGGTTTACCAATCTTAGAGACTGTATTAGATATTCATATTTATATAAGAACGAAATGACTGCCATTTTTTATTTTTTCAAATTTGGTTAAGAAAGAAGCTTTCATTGTCATCGTTAAATGGCTCAAAGGAAATAAGGTTGATGATGAAGATGTGGTGTTACGCTTAGTGTCGAATTTAAAATTGACAAATTTATCGATAGATGAGAGAATTTTTTGTATCCGATATTCCCCGAAGTTGTTCGAAATAAAAGAATGCAGAGAAATGATGCTATATTCTAATTGGTATATATATTTGCAAAAATCATTAAATCATTTTTATACGATATTTCTTAAGGTGCAAAATTATAGAAGAAAATGAAAATGCGTATGAGAAGCGAGAGTTATATAGATTTGCTTTAGAAACTACTCCTATAAAAACTTCGGTGGACAAACAATTTCAATATGAAACCTTAAAAGAGCCTACCATGAACAAGCATCAAATTATAGATAATAGGAGACCCGAAGAGAAAGTCAAGCTAATCGGATACAGGGATATCCATAATAACGACTACATATACACGGGAGAATCGAGTGAAATAGTTAACATAGTAGATTATTACAAGCCAGCGAATGTTTCTGGCTCATATGAACATTTTAGAGAAGGCACAAATTTTAACGATAATTACAATAAAATCAAATATGCGCATTCTACCCTTAAAGAAGATAAAATGGTAGGTAGGGGTGATTCGAAATGTGGGTCGGTCGATAAAGATATTTTCAAATTCGATTGTGCGAAGGAAGATCCATTTTGGAACGATTTGCTTAATGATTCCCGCTCCAGGGGGGATAAGAAAATATCCGGAAAAATTGTTAAAGGCAATGGCCACGAGAAATTTAATCCATTGGAAGAAGCCAAATTTTGGGACCAAAAGGCCAAAGTTTATAAGATAAGTTTCGACACTTCGTCGCAATTCGATAGATTCAGCGATGAAGGTTTATTCCATTAAATGATTGAACACCATTTTGAAATTATCATTATTTCGATTACAAGTCTGTTAAATTGGGATATGAATAACAATAAAACAATCATTCATTTAAGTTTCTGTTAGTGTTAATTCGATTTAAATTTGGTAAATATGCCTCTGCTAATACTTGTTTAATCCTTTTATAATGACATGAAATTATCTATATTTAAAGTTTTAATATGTTTTTAGAAAAAGGGTTTTACTACTGCTTTGTTTAGCATAGATTATTTTTCTTCTAAATATTAATTTTATAAACTAAAAATATTAACAAAATTTTGATATAAAGTCAACATAAAAATAGTCAAAGAAAAATAAAATTTTCTAATTTTCAATACAATTATATTTCGTTATGAAAATGGCAGCTCGGGTATTATCTGATAGAAATGTCGCAGGCAAAAAGATACCAGGTAAAAATAACCCATTTTAAATTTTTTACAAGGTGTTTAGGACAGGGAGGGATTTTTATTGTTTACATGATTACAATTTAAGATTATACTTGCATGTTGTGTTAGATAATAAAACAATTAAAAAAACGTGTTTTGGTTAGGAAATTTATAAACTAAAAAAAGGGCAATAGAACAAAATACTCTGGACAAAAATTCCCTAAAATGAAAACTATTCTTTTTTATATTAATTTGATGATAAAAAAAATATCATGTGTCAGGTGTAACTAGTATGTTACAAATCTGGATTGAGGAATCAACCATGTGGATGAAATTAAGGTTAAAGGGTAGCCAGATATGGGGTAGAGAAAATATATATTTTATAAATTAATAAAATTTGGTCCTTTCTCTCGAAAACTTTCATTCCATGCTCCAGGAAATTAATCGGCCGGTAAGAGCCAGTCACCATGCTTGCTGGGCCTGTTGCTTATTTTCTTTAACACTTTTCTATTTTTTTTCCCTTTCCAAACTTTAAACTTCAGGCTCATCACATCGCGCATCTCAATTCCATTCATTTTCCTCATTTAATAATTTTTTAATATACCTCTTCTGCGTCTCCTCAATCTCTTTGCCATCATTAACAATATTTCCATCTACATTTCTCCCATATTAAGCAGCCACTACTTCCAGTGTCGCTTTCATCATTTTTTAATGATTATTCGAATCATATTTTTCCTTCTTTCTTCATCTTCCAGATTAATAGTGAATTGACCCCTTTTCAATTCTTGCATCTTTACCACAATTCTGTTGACACTTCGTGCTATTTTGTACGCCTCTTTATCGCTCTCCGGCTTCACATTCTGTCATCTCTTATAGCACATTTTCTTTTCTTCTATTGTATTCTCTGTATCCAAGTTCAACCATCATGTCTTCCCCTGTCTTGGAGGCCTCTTTGTCCTATAGCAAACTTTACCGTTGTTTTCAGCCATACCTTCATCATAACTCACTTTTCGTTCATGTAAAATGCTTTGACAGTTCTTGTTTCAGTAAGAGTTCTTATATATTCATAACTAGATTCCAAATTTTAAGCCTCGGCGCATGTTTTTTTCTGTTCTCTTTCCCATCATTAACCAAGAGATCTCTTAAATTAAGGAATGTTGTGTGACACACTCCTCTCCTGGTATTACCTTCGCATTCTTTATATGCCTTGATCGCTTTGCCTTAAAATCTACTGTACTTTTGCAAATGGAATCGTAAGTCACCAATTTCTTATTATCTTCCTTAAGGAGTGTGTTACACAAGATTATTTGCATGGTATTGCAAAAATCTGGGAACATACGAAAGCTAAAGTCCCCATTACTTCATATCCCTCTGTATGTTCTCAAACGTATATATTTTTTAAATTATTATTGAAATACAAAACTAAAATGTATAAATATATTTCTCAATTATATATCTTTTCTTTTCATATATTAATATTGACGTAATATTCTTTTATAATTTGCATGGTAGTTAGTATCAATCATAATATATCCGAACAAAGGTTAAATGATATAATATATTTCAATAAATTTATTGAAATTACATATCCCTTTACTTAAATCAGTTGTTTCTGCATTTACATTTTCCTCTTAGTGTATCGGATTAAATCCTCCAAATCCTAGTCCAAGTTGCTCTTTCGCACATATAGGTCTACATCGTCAGCGTAACAGCCGAGCCTATGACATTGGTTAAACATACTCAGTTGGACACCTTGCCGTTGTGCTCATGTCATTCTTCTTTCACTTATTTTATTAGGATGGGTACAGTTCTTTCACCTTCGAGCAACTGCATCGTGTCACTGCTCAGCTTTGCTCTATGCCAAAATATCACCGCCAGGAATAGTTTTGTTTCATCTCTGCTTTATTTTATTTGATTATAAATCATCAGATTGCTTGTCACAGCTTGACTTGCTTAAATGTCTGACTGTTACCTAGCTCTGAATTAAACATTCAGATTAGAATAAAAATCCTGGGTGAAGTTCTTTGGTCAACGATTATAAGATATTGATATTTAATCTACAGGGATATAACTCTCGTGTTGGTACACGAGTCTATAGCGCTTGCCCAAAAATTTAACAATTATATGATTTCATATTGTTATATTTCTTCCCTATTGTTTTCTTCTAAGTTTTTCATTATCGTTTGACCATCCTCTTTTTTAAATTCATTTTACATTCGCTAATTAAAAAAAGGAATGGTTTTTATTTTATTATAATTTTTTTAAATCTTTTTTATTATTGAAATACAAAACTAAAAAGTAGGTTTAAATATCAGACATCTGAAGAGGTCAAAATTTTAAGCCAAGCTCGGATTTGAAAAAAATTATCATTTTCAGGCCAAGCCCGGGATATTTTAAAATCCGCCTTTCGTTATTTTATATAATTTTGGCTGTATTTTCAAAATTATAAGGGAGATTAAAAAAATGAGCAATCAATTATTAAACGCTATTTACATGATTTTCTAAATTTTGCAACTGATTATTAGATATAAACATAATTTTTTCCTTATATCGGCCCAGCTAGTATTTTTAATTTCTTAAGAAGTTCTGGGCAGGGATTAGGGTCCAGGTTTGCAGGTCTTTTATATATCTTTTCTTTCTGTATAATAATATTAGCGCAATATTCTTTTATAATTATTTGCATTAGATGTCTGCAAATAGCAAAATTCCTAGCTGAACTGATGGGAATTTAGTTAATGCCTAGCCTAGTTTCAATTTTTCACTAAAGTTGCCTGGCCCAGCCCTATTTAAATTAACACAAAAATAAACAACTTTTTATAATATTGGGGAGTAGTTAATTAAAAACACAATACTTTATTGATTATCACTTCTATAAAATATTTGAATTCATGAAACATTGCCCAGCCCTGCTCAAATAAAAAAAAATCAGCTGTTACTCGGACCAGCCCATGGGCTTTTGCAGATTTCTCATTTGTATAACCAATAAAAATTATTATATCTGAACAAAAGTTAAAAGATATAAACATAACAAAATCTAAAAAATTATATCTGAATGATAATATACAATTATATGGTTATTCTTAAAAATAATATTCATAAAAATATTAAGAAAATAATAATTTTTATCAATGTCTGAGTCTGTCTTCTCTAAAATAAAATATTAAAATAAAGATCTGAATCTGAACAACCCAAATTTTTGGCATTGTATTGGTCCATACAGAGCTTTAATATATTAATTAACAATTGTTACACCCCATGTTGTTTTATTTTGGATTTTTAAAAATATATAAAGTACATTTTTGTCTGGCATCTTTTTGTAATAGTGCTACATTTGTCTATATAGTAATCTAACTCTTGTCATATAATCTAAACTAATCTTAGCTCAAATCATGAAAAAGGTGAATCATAAGTGCCCCTTCATTTTACCCAAATGTGTAAAAATTTGTTATTAATTTATAGAATCTTCTTGAACCACATTTATATATTTATGTTCAAATCTTTAAAAAAAATTTAGATAAATAATGGTCTACATCTTTATTGATTAACAATTTAATGAACAAACTTTGCACAATTATACAATAATCAAATAATATAAAAATCATCCAACCATTGTTCTTTTTCTTCCCCTTAGTCTTACTTCAGCTAATTTTTTGAAAATAAATGAAGAAGCAGTTTTATTTGTGTTATAATTGATGCTTTTATTAAGTTTATCATTAATTATGATTTCATCATCACTAATATCACTTTCATTGTCATTTAAATTTGTATTCAATTGAGTTTGAAGAATATTGTCAACAAGAAGATTTGGGTTTGATTTTTTGATATTACCAAAATTATTATCAACTTCAGAAATATAAGCTTTTAATATGACATTTTCCATTATATCAGTCAAGTCTGAATGGGTGCTTATAAAAGCTCTTTCAAGAACATAGAGATCAACTGCCTTATCTTCTAAGATTGATGAAATAAAAACATTTTGTGAAGAATCAAAAAATCTACTCAAGCCAAAATCAATGGTAATTAATTCTGATATGGTGTTAGGATTTTCAGAATATTTATAGTTTTCGATTAAAAAATTTGATGTTGTAAGGTCTCCATGAATAATTCCATTATTATGTAATTTGCCTTTATTCATAGTTTTAAAACAAATAATATAGAATAAGATATAAATTAATAGGGCATAACATTTGAAAATAAAATTAATTAAAGTTGTATAATTAGACTTTATTGAATTAATTTGCATTGAAATATTAATATATATTGGCTAGGTTTATGTAAATAAACCTATTGTATGTCCTAATATATTTCCCAATCTTTCAATACCAATTTTATCATTATCAATATTGAATTTATTAAATGCATCTTTTACTGTTATAGCATTAGGAAAATATTCCATAAATATTGAGTGAGTTTTAAAATCGGAATTGTAAACAATTGGTACCTTTATATCTATTATATTTTACAAATGAAAATTAATAATATAGTATATCAAACTTGCATTGTGACATTTACTAAGTGCTTTTAATTCTGCTTTCATTCTTTGCTTGGTAATCATTTTATCTAGTTGTTCTATTCTATATTTTTTAGGAAACCTCTCCTTTTGTATAATATTCTGACCTAGATGATCAATAATATATATTCTACTCTCGGCACCTTGTTTGATTAATTTTTTTTCTGACATATGATTTAGTGAAAGAATGAGAATATATATATCTGAATGGTTGTGCAATATAAATACAGCTGGAACAACTTGGAATCTTAAAAAGATTCAATACTGATTTGATATTCCAAAAGAAAATACAAACATTTTACGCACACAGGTAACTATATGCTGCCCAAAAATTAATGAATAATTCTTCCATATAAATCGAACCCTTAAAATTTTTAACAATTTGATGGGCATGTGATTGAATTAGGAATGGCTTTATTAGTAAAAAACCTGTTATAAAAATTATCCTAGTTTAGCATGGCGCCATCCTTATATACTAATTTCTGTTGTACCCGACCCTGTTATTTTTAAAAGTGGAACCCAATTCCCTGAAAAAAAGGCGGTCAGTATTTGTGGCGTATTTATGAGGATCACCCTTCACCAGAGAAACAAAATCTAAATATCTTACTGTTTTAGTTTCAAAAGAATGTTTGTGTCTAATTAGTTCATATATTTTTATTAAAGGAATTTAATATTATAAAAGCTAATTCCCTATTAAAAGCGATAAGCTTTGAAAGAGACTAATTTTTTTGTTATAGATGAAAAGAATATATTAATATTAATTAAAATAAAATAATAATTATAATTATAATTATAATTTTTTTTTTTTATTATTATAGATTACTTTATTATTTATTCATAATCATTAAATTACAGAGGATTAAAAAATATATATTATAATGGATATATTAAAAATTAAATATAAAAAAAATAAATATATAATATAAATATAATCTATGAAGACATTAAAAAGGACTATTAAAAAAAATATATATTTTAAAAAAAGGGGGGAGGGGGTATATATCATCCAAGAGAAGAGTGAATACTTAAAAAATTAGACCGGAAAATAACCAGGGAAATCTGCTGGCGGCCAAATTTCTAGGGAAATTAACTGGCGAAGGTAAAATCCTTCATTGGGGTCCCCTGAGATCTGTCTCATAAATATATATAAATTATAATAATTATAAAAATATAATATTAAATTAATTTAAATAAATTTAAATAAATAATATTAATTAAAATAATTTATAACAATTATAATATTCGAATGACATTTTATAAAATATAGCGATTTCTACCTGTGACATTTTATAAAATATTCCATTACCTATTACCTTTTATAAAATATATCGCCATTTTTACTAAATTATTCTATTTTATATTCTAAGATAATATTATATATAGTATAAATTTTGTACATATAGTATTAACACAATTTAATTGTTTTTTAATGTAATAAAATGTTTCTTAATCTTAGCTAATCATCATGCGTTTCTAAGATTTTTAAATATTAGTGGCATGACAATTATCTATTAATAAATTAAAAACATATTTACCGTTTTATTTTTTTAATATTTAACTTATATTTCTACCTATACAAAAGAATGCAGAATTTAAATCATTATTCAATATTAACTTATATACTAATTATTAAATTTATCTATATAATAATTAACTACTATTTAAATTTATTAAGATGTTAATATTTCAAATTCAGATTTGTATATTGTAGCATAGCATAGCTAGTAATTTTAAGATAATCCTATTGTACTTGATATATTACCATGCCAATAATATATATCGAAAATTTAAATATTTAGCTCCATCTATTTAATAAATGTTATAAATAAAATATTATGGATTTATCACTTCAAAATGTTTCTGATCAAAATCTACAAAAATCTGAAAATGTTTTTAGCTTTGAATAAATTAATAACCTAATTATTTTTAAGAAACCAGATTATAAAAAGGATGAAAAAGTTAGAGAAAATGCTGATCAACAAGAGCAGTTAAGAAATACAATACTTTCATCTGTATTAGACCAAAAAGCCAGGGCAAGATGTATTTAATTATGATTATTCCTAAATTAATTCATTCTAGTGAGTAATATAACTCTTGCTAAACCAGATAAAGGTAAGGCCTTAGAGAATATGATTATTCAAATGGCTCAATATGGTCGAATTCAACATCAAGTTAATAATATGACTTAAATTTTTTATTATTGTTTCCTCTATATTTGAAATAAATAGTTAAATGAAGATCAAATGGTTAAATTACTTGAACAATTAAATCAACAGCAAAAACCAAAAACAATTGTAAAAGTATGTATAACCTTTAATAAATTATTTACATTAAAATGCCAATAGTTTGAAAGAAGACAAATTGATGATTATTCAGATGAAGATTATTAATATATAAAAATTTATTATTATTATAAAGTCAAGATGTGTTGTATATTAGAAGCCTTATAAATTTTGATACACAAATTTTTTTTAAATTAATTATATTATATAAATTGTTTCTTGCTTTTTGAATCCAATACTTAAATATTAATAAAAATATTTTAGATGCATTTTGGTAAATTAAATTTACTTTTTTTAAAGTATTTTTTATTTCAAAAGATATGCTGATACTTGATACAGTGTCCTCTAATCTTCCCTAAGCTCTTTAATTCTGAGACCCTCCTTAGAGGGTAACCTACCTCAGGCATCCCCTCATAAAAAGTTTGGCTAACTAATAAACATTTTATCCAGCTGTGTTTAATAGTTTAATTTTCACAAATACCATTATTTTTTATTTAAATAATTAGAGTAGAGATTTGGGGGGGGGGGGGGGTATGTAAATTTGTTAAATTTAAGGGTGTGGGGTACCCTAAATGGGCATGGTTTTATTGACCTAAACCCCATAAAATTTTAATAAAGTAATTAAATCATGCCCTCACAATAGTAAAAGGCACTGACTTGCTATCACCTTTAAATTTTAACTAAAATAGTGGTTAATATTAAAAAATGACTATTACCTTCATAAATTTTAAAAAAAACTGGTCAACACTACTTGGAATTTATAAAATTATATAAAAAAATTTTAGCTGATGAGGAAAGTAAGTGCTTTTAATCTTTTTTCTTGTGATTTAATTTAAATGATAATATCTCAATATTTAAACCAATTTTATATAAATTCTCATCTATTAACTAGGCTCAGGGCCAATATTCAATGTTTTTTTATAACTATAGTATCAGATCAATATTTGAAAATAAATTTAATTAAAGGAACCAATGTTTAAATCAAATTATTTTAAAAGATAGAGCATTGTTATTTATCTGAATACATTCAAATGGCTCAATTTAAGTGTTTTTAAACCCTACTTTTAAAAGTAGTGCACTACACTTACATCTATTTGTCAAAATAAAGTAGCGCCCTATTAGCTACTATTTTTTAAAAGTAAGTTTTGGTTACTTTTTAGGCTACTTTTTATAAAAAAAAATTAGAAATAAATTTGTTTTATTTTTGTTTATAATGTAATTGCATAGTATATAATATATAAAAATCAACATTTATAAATATTTAGATATAGTTAGTTTTGATTATAAAAAAATTCATGTAAAAAAACTATAATTTATGTAATAATAATAACTATTTATAGTAATATTCATTTTTTAAATTTATTTTGTTGTATTTAATAATAAAATCATTACTATCATTCACAAGTCTAAATCGACGATCAGAAAGTATAAGTTTTGCCTTACTAAATAATCTCTCAACACTAGCACTTGAGTGCAAGGCAGTATTTAATTTTATAAATATAAGAAAAATTTGTATTTTAGATCTAAAAAACGCCTCTAGATGATTTTCTATTATATTAGTATCCTTTATTTTCAAAAAATTATCAATGGAAGTCTTATGGTTCTAACTAGGACATCTTTGCGACAAATGGATTATATAAAATCGACAAGAACTATCGGTCAGTTTCTGAGAAATATTGGCTTGTGCAACATTTATTATTAATCAATTTAGCTTGAATTGAATTGGTCTTTTTGAATGTAGTCACCACTGTTATAATTTAAAAATGACAATTGCCTTTAGGTGTTTTTCGAGGTTATAGCTACATTGAGGATATATTTTTTTACAGTTTAAATAAATAAATTTCCACCTTTTATTTTACAATTTGAAAATATCTTCAAATTTTGGAAATGGAAAATTTGTATTATTGTTATCAAGAACATTTTAGTCTAGGGTACCTTCCATTTTATTAATATCATAATTGTCTGACTTACATCGATTTGCATATCCATTTGCGATGACTTTTTAATAATTTACACCAGATGATTTAGGTTTATAATACAAATTGAAAATATAAATTTCAAAATTAAATAAATTATAATTAATTATCATTTATTTAAATTATCACTTTTATAGTTACAGCGCTACTTAGCTACTTTCAAAAAAAGGAGCGCAAAAAAATTTGAGAAAAAGTAGCGCGCTACTTGTAGCGAGATTTAACAACTGCTCAATTTGGACAATTTTTAAAAAGGTTTTATTTAAAAATTTTAGGCCAATAGTAAATTATCCAGGATTGATTGCCCACCGACGAACAGCCAAAAGGTTTGAGACATCTATTGTTGAACTTATAGTAATATTTTATCTAAAATTTTGATTTACCATTTTTTGAAATTAACTAAATTGAACCATTTATCAATAATAGGGATGTACCGATATTTTTATCGGATCGGTCCGATATTTTACCCATTTTAAATATCGGTTAACGGCCAATACTATAACATTTTCCGATCCGATAAAATATGGCGTTTACAAAAATAAAATGTTTTTAAAAAAAGTTATATCTAAAATCATTTATTTTTATAAATAAGATCGAAATCCATTTTTATATTTATTTCTTTAATAATAATAATTACTTAATAAACATTCTGCCATACTGTTAATTTTTTTGCGTATTCTGTTTATTAAAGTGTGCGATAATTTCTTCAGAATCTCTTTTTAGTGAAGCTGGTGATATTGACAGTTACCATCGCCGCAAGCTTACCTCTGATAAATTTGAAATTCTGGTATTTCTAAAAAGAAATCTTCGATATATTAATATTAAATATTATTTTACATATTTATTTCAAATTTCATAATATTTGTTTATTACTTATTTTTGTATATAGATTAATGTTATTACTTATTATATAAAAGTAATTTAACAATAAAAATATTTTATATACTTTTAGAATTGCAATTTGAATTGAATATAAACTAACTGATCATTATAATATATTTAAATGACATAAGTTTTGGTATAGTTAGATTATAGATGTTATAAAAAGTATATTAAAAATTAAAACCATTAGTATCTTTACAGAATACAAAATTAGATATGATATAGGATCGGTAATCGGCCGTTATCACTTTAATATTGGATCGGATCAGCCTCCAAAAAGTGGTATCGGTGCACCCCTAATCAATATTATATTCAGCCATAAAAAATGCCCATATTTTAAATAAAATGATTTACTTTTGGGGAAAAAATATTAAAATATTGCATATCAATTATGTGACATGATAAAAATGTTTCGCACTCTAGATGTATATATAAAGAGTTATGCTAGGTGGTTTTCCTCAAATCCATTGTATTGGATATTTAAAAATAAGAAAACATGATAGGCTCTTCACCCTTTTCTGAATAAGCCACACGCATATGTAACCGTAATAGTCATAGGACTTAGGCTAAATAAAAAGAGTTGGGCAAAACAAAAGTCTATACCCGAGAATTGTGCAAATCTTTAATAATCTGGCGGGGTAGGGGAAGGGCTGATTTTAATTGTCTATGGTAAATAAGAAAATTCTGCAGGTGTTAATGTTAGCGAAATGAATAATTAAAAAGTCTTTTCATATTGACCATCTAAAACATATATAATTAAATAATTAATAACTTCTTAATCTAGCTATTCCATTGAAATTCCCAATACATTAACATTTTAATCTTGCTATTCCATTAAAATTCCCAATTCTTGTAATTATGTTAGATTGGATTGGTGAAAAATTTATGAACTAGCACAGCCCTAGAAATAAATATGGAGTTTAGTATACCAAAAAATTTGTGAATTAATGCAGAAGATGAAATTAATTGCTAACAACCATTCATCGCCAAATTTAAAATTTAAAATAATTTGGCTAGAACATGTTCTATGAATCATTGATAAGAGGCACTCAATGGAATGAGATAATAAGGGAATATCCTAAGCTTTCTAGAATATGGATTTGGGGCTAACAATTTCTCAAGTTTGAGTAGAATCTATAATATTAGGATCATGACTGGTATGTATTAAAATTGAACTGTTGTTGAAGAGAAAAGCCCAAAAGTGAGATGGGTGAAGGGTAGAAAGCAATCCCATCATTTTTACATGATATAAAGGCTGGATAAATTAAAATGTTTTATAATATTTCTAAGAATGATTCGTGATTTTTCCTCAAATTCCTTCCATATCAATGAATAAAACTTCCAAATTATATTTTTTTGATTATCTACTTTCTATCCACGTTCTATGTGGTATTTTCTTTTAAATTTTTATATCTTAAGATCTCTTTTAAATTATGATATTGCTATCGCATTACTTTTTCTACAAATTAATATATCTTATTTTTATATTACACATTTTAAAAAAATATATAATATAACTAAGATAGGGAAAACATGTTATTTCCGAACTGGGTGTCTTGATGCATTACCCCAATTTAAAGTTTTTAAGTGAATATTTGCTCATTCATTAATTACCCAGATTTTAAAAAAACCTTAATTATGAGCTTTGTGGCACATTCTTGGTGGTGTATATAACAATATTTTTTAGTTGAATATTTAGCTTTTTTGACTTTAATTTTATTCCACCCAAAATCTAATAATATTGGCATAACCCTAATTTTCTGTAAAATCAGATTTACTATGTTTTTAATTTCATAAATAATCGGAAATCTATTATTCATAATTGGTTTCGTGATTTAGATAGAAAATGACTAGAAAACAATTTTTGTAATGCTGCCAGGAAAATATTATATAAAATATATAAGATAATTCTATCTAATATGTCAAAATCTTAATTAACAAACATTTCTCAGCTAGAAGTTATTACCCATCCTCCTCCCCTTAGAAACGCCAATGTTTATTAAATAAAACTTTTCTACTTTTCAGACATTTATTTCATTCAAATTCAGAGGTATAGGGTATAATACATAGAAATCATGTTGAAACTATTTTTTATAAAATTCGAAATAAATTATTATATTGCATTTTATTGACTGAATGTATTTTTACAAAAATAAATACTAAATAAATTACAGATTATAATATTTAATTTATGATTGGATTAATTTGTAAGTTTTCTTGATCATGAATCATTTTTCTGGAAGACTGCTCCGTGGAGATTCTTTGAGGATTTTCCTATAATTATGAATTATTTTATTAGCAAAATTTATACTAATATATAGAATTGTACATGTTTTAAGGGATGGATAAAAGGGCATATAGCATCAACAACAACGTTAGTAAGTGAGGTGGCAAAGTGATTTTTGCATCATTTGGATAATTGTAATGGATTTTGTTTTCTGAATAAAAAATTAAATAAAATATATATATATAATATTTAAAAAAACATCAAAATTATTGTAGGTAAATTAATATTTTTAAATAATTTGAGTAGAAAAGAACAAGGGTCACTTACGCGTCTATAAAATATCGCCAGCTATGTCAAATAGTAACTAACTAAAATGTATCTTATCTAAATTCTATTAAATTTTTTAAATGTATTTCAATTTTTCAAATATAAAAATCAAAGCACATTAAATTAAGTAACAGAGCATATGAGACTACCGTGTATTCGGTTATATAAACAAATAATATTATATTAGTAGTTTAGATTTAGGAGTTGAGATCTAATTTGGCAGCAGCAATTGTCAGAAAGCTTAGTTAGTTGCTAGCTAATAAAGCATCGACCGGCGGTGCATATTCTAAAAATTTTACTAATTTCTAATCAATGTATCAATTTTTATATAATTTTATTTTGGGAATCATTGGTTATATAATGATTTTAAATCTTTTCCATGTATTGGTGTATTCTTCGTTCTTCGAAAATAAATTTATAATTAAAGGATTATCCTTGTTACATCAGAGTGGCATCACTAATATTTTATCGATTATAAATAAATTAGAAATTAAATTTAGCTAAAAGGATTTTTGATATCCATATGATGGATATTGGTGAAATGGGAATTTCAATGGAATAGAAAGATTAAAAAGTTTTTTTTAATTATATTGTTTTAGATATGGATAACAAGACTTTAAATTTATTCATAAAGCTAACATCAACACTAACAAAATTTTCTTATTTAACATTGAAAATTAAAATCAGACTTTCTCCTATCCTATAAAGTAATTGAATATATGCGAAATTCTCTGGTATAGGCTTTTGATTTGCCCAAATCTTTATCTTAGCCTATGGTTTACAATTCTCGGACTGTTTTGCCTACAACTACGTGCGAATGGCCCATAAATGTGTAGTTTAAATTTTTTTTACCCAACTTAATTTATTCAGTTAGATAGAGATGAGGAATACCTAACGCAGCTTTATTGAACCTTCAACGATATAAGGCAAAAACGCTATAAATCACATGTCAGATAATTCATTTAAATTATAGCTGTCATTTTTCATAATTTTTATAAAGTAATCTCAATAAGAAATATTTATGAAGATTTTTAAAAATTTAATTATTACATAATAAAACTAAAATTAACCAAAAATTAATAAAAAAAATATCAAGAAAGGTTTTATAATCTTTGACAATAATACTCTGAGTAAGTGGATATTGAAACTAGAATTAAGCTAGGAGCTATATATCCCTTTTCTAATTTTTCCAAGTTTCGAGTTCCATTTCCCTGGTTATAATATATTTTTTATATCATAATCTTATTCTATATTTATGTTTAGCAATAAATCTTCAAGCAGATTATAATGGCGGCACCGTGGAGAGAGCCAGCGGTGCCAATTGCTATATTGAGAGCTGTTTTTAACAGAAATAAATTATAAATAGAAAAAAATAATCGGCCCTAATATCGAAATTGATAGGCGTAGAATTAAAGGGTACAATGGCCCCAAATTACTATACAACTAAGCTCTCAAAATAGGAACAATTGTTTAGATGTTTAAATACAGAAAGAAATATATTATATCCTTTATTTATATAAATCTTTAGGGAAACACCGTGATTTTTTTTGGGTTGATTTAAATTTATAGGATGATTTTAACTGCTTCTCAACTGTATATAATGACGATTAATCCATTTTATACATTAAATAAATGAAACTAATCAATCTTAACTGCCATTTTGGCTCATAGATCTTAATATATTTAATAATTTCTGGCCATAATCAAATTATGGTTTATTTAAAAAATTACGGTATTTTCCTGCTATTAAATAACAAGTCCTCGATGACATAAATCTTATTAACAAATATAGTAAATAGATATTTACAAAATTAGGTTGGGTCCTCTAGCGGGACCCAACCCATTTTGCGGGCCGGTTCATTTTTTAAAAAAATAATTCGAGCCGGACCTTTTTAAATAGACATATGAATCAATTTTGTTAAATAAAATAGATATAAAATTTTTGCAAGAAATGAGGCACCTTTATTTTTTTATTTGTATAGTATTTTTTTCAATTAAAAAAATATTTAATTATTGAAACTAGGAGCCATATATTCTGTATTTAAATAAATTAGAGCCAGGTCGGGTGGACAAATGATTTATATTTTGGCTGGACTCTTCGGCGGCATAAAAAATGTCATTGGGCGGGAGAAATTTTCAATCTCGGGCCTGGCCATGCTTGAAACATTAACGATGTAGATCATTAATAGTAATATAGAATTAAAAATATACCTACATATTACTATAAGAACAAAAAAGATGTAGTATAAAGTCAGTATTTTACTAACAAAAAAATAAGTATTTATTTGAATAAAAGGTACATGTTTCTTACTAACCACATAAGAGTTTATTTTTAGGCCCCAGTCCTCAGATTAAAGAAAATTTAGTCTGGGACTTGGCCTGATGTATAATTGTAATTATAAAATATTTCTTAATTAAAAATTTCCTAATTGGCTAAAGGTATATATTTTTTAACGTATTAAAAATAAAAAATATATGCTTTACTAATGGTGATTTCAAATATATAAATATTTTTCATTTCTGATATAAAAAAAATTATTCCAAATTATTGCTCAAATATAAAATTTTTTAAATAAGAAATATAGGTTTGTCAATTTTTTCCAGGGATCCAAACTGAAACGAATATCGGTTCGGATTCGGATACACATAACAGTTCAAGGTTCAGGTTGGTGATTCGTCAAATATATCAAATATATCGCGTTTCGGTTCGAACTATTGCTACAAACCGGTTTGAACACTTTTGTATTCAAACCTAACAATTTTCGAATTATGTAATAGGGAAAATAATAGTTTTATTTGATCATTAATTTAAAAACACAAGCTAGCATGTATCCTTAAAACACTATCCTTCTTAATTTATACCATTATGGGGGGAGGGCACTATTAGGTAAAATTTTCCTCCATAATTTATATTTGATAAATATAAAAATAAATATCAATGATTAATTTTAATATGAACAATATTTTACTTTTTTTACTTAAATTTTTTTTATTAAGCCACACAATGAATATATTTTCAAAATTCATCCCACTCAAATTACATCTATAAGGAAATAGCTTATAAATTTAATTGTTGAAAAACATCTTTCCATAGTCCACACTAACTCTGGTAGCATGCACTGCCAATATGATATCAAATTTGATATGTGATTTATAATAATATTTTGGATTTAATTTTTCTCTAAGCCTTATAATTTATAAGCTTAGAGGAAAATGTTGTTAAATGACAATTTACTAAAGTTTACAAAAATTATTACCTACACTTATCAATCAGATTCATAATAATCTTTAAAATAATTAGAATATAATTGAAATTTTTTCAATTATACTAATAATAACTTACATATTATTTTATAAGCATAAAATCATGAGTCTCGAACCGGTTCAGAGGCATTTTATCGGTTCGGTTCAGGTTGATGGCATAGCTCAATTTTTTGAAGCAATGGTTAAGGTTCGGTTCAGTGTTCGATAATAAAATACCCCTTTTGAAAGAATTGTTTAGCGAGTTTAACGCCGTAATCGGTTCAGTTTGGATCCCTGTTGAGTGAGTTTTTCCCAAAACTAACACTATATCGATACTACCAAGTCATGCATATCAAATGAAAATTTTAAAATGCAGTGATTATCAAAAAATTAATAAGAAAATTTTTTATAAATTTATTTTTTATCGCTCTATTATACTGTATTCATAATTATATGCTCAAAATAGGCCTATAATTTTTTATCATAACATAATATATTGTTTTAAAAAATATAATAAAAGTATTTATACTAGAGATTAAATTTTAAAAAACATCATAAGACTTTGAAAGCATAAACGCGTCCATTGAAATCGAACGTATTCTTTTTAATTTATACCATTATGGGCGTGGACGCGGTCGACTATTATCGGTGAGCGTTTTACGCGTCCATAATTTTTATTTGATATATTAATACGCGTTTAATGTTGTAGGCCTTTGGCTGCTGTTATATTTATATAAAAAAAATTTTGGTTTTCAACTTTCTTTTATAAAAATGCTTTTTTTCTAAAAATTTTCAATTATAGTCACATTATTTTCAAAAATTATTAACTTTTTATTTTTCTTTCAAATTCTAATTTATAATGATTATATTGTATACATTTTTGGGGAGAGGGAGTAGAGGATGGTGTTGGAGAGGGAGTAGAGGATGGTGTTAAGTTAATTTTTTAAAAACGTACGTTATAAATGATTTAAAGTTTCAAAGTGTGTTAATAGCTGGGTTATAAATTAGTTCTGAATTGGCAAAACTCCTACGAGATACATAATATATAGTCTAATATTTTTTTTCTGTCAGCATTTGTATATTGTATTAAGTAAATCATACAATTAATTTTGATTTAGTTAACTATAAATGTAACAATTAAATTTGATTAGCTGTAACCTAGTCCTACAATTCAAGTAAGAAAACTATGCTGTAATTATTTACTTTTTGGACAAAGTAAATAGCTTTGGAAAAATACTTTAACACTAAAAAAAGTATATTGTATGTAATATGTATGAATGATATATTGTAAATAAAAAATGAAATAACCATAGCAAACATAGTACCACATTTCTTATTTTAATTTTAATACTCCTTATTTTAAAAAAATTTTATAATATTCTAAAAATGAAGATTTAGCAGCGTTGTTTTACAATAATAAAATATTTTTCATACCCATAGGTTGAAAGAATTGATAGTGGGCCTCGAAGCCCGTTGCATCGAACAAGGAGTTGCTTTTGAAAGTTATTCTGAAAAAATTATTGTCTGATTCTATAGTGGTTGGTTTATTGCCTCCGCAATACCTTGGAAATTTTCGATCAACGGATCTGTAATTTGATAGCTCTAAATAATCGCTCTCCGAATTGCCTATGCATCTAAAACATAATGTGTTAATGAAATTATAACCAATGAATTTCTAACTTGTTTTATGTTTTATTTAAGGATCCTATACACATAATACATAGATAGAATTTAATTTGTCTAAATAAGATTTTGAAATTGTGAAGCTTTCATTGATTAAATTTTTCAAGCGATTTCCTTTCTATTAAATATTTTATGAGTAAGGGGAGACCGGAGTTAATTTTTTTCTCTAAGATCTCAACTCAATAATTATGGTGCATAGGCGCCTAAAATTTTGTATTTTTCAGAAATAATTAATTGTCTTATTCCCGCCATTTAAAAAAAAAATCATTTTAAATATTATAATAGAAGATTAGTTGAGGAGATATAATTAGGCTATTTAATAAATAATTTTAGAATTTCAATCAAAAAATAATTACGGATATATGCCTTCGACGTTAAAATACAAAAAGATGATCCTGACTTTTTCTTCCGGGGAACCGTAAAACAAATAATAACATTCCGTATCCCTAGGATACAAGCCGGGGAAATTGGGACTACTGAAGGTACCATTATTAACTTCCAAACTATTGAATTCAAACGCGCAATCTAAAAAAATTTTCAGTGTAAGCTATTATACAAAATTATATTTGTGGTATAGAAGTTGACATTTAATATAGTCATATGATGTTTATCAAAATCATATTAACAAAAATATAGTTATCCTTTAGCTTATTTATTTATTATCATCATTATTAATTTTTATTTTAATTAAAAATGAAAATCTTAAAAATAAACAAATTAAGAAACTAGTATGTAAGTTAATTGTGCTACCAAAAAAGGAACTATAATTATATTTCAAAAGGTACCGATGCCCCTGTCTTTGTAAAGTGTTTATATTTGTGTGACGAAAGTCACTATGTTTTTTAAAAAAATCATTATGCGACTAAAAAAAGGCTATATAATAGCAAAGTGTAAAAAGGTTACATAATAGACATTTTTTACTGTAATATACAAATATAAAACTTTGTAAATCGTTCTTAGACGTTAAATTTTAACAATAACCGCAATTAAATAAATTTATTAAATTACTATATACATGTGATGAAAAGATTATAAAATAAAATGGGTAAATATGTCCTTTGTTTTCTCTTATGTGTAAACAATGAAAAAGTATGATTTCACATTTCATTTTACAATAATATGATATTATTATATACCTAACCCTCCATGGACCGATCCACTTGGATAAATATTTTCTCGGACTCGTTACCTTTTTTTTAAAATTTATTTTGGAATGGGTTGGATCTCCAAAAATTTTAATTTTTTTTCCTAATGTTTTATATGAAAATTATTTTCAAAAATGACCACAAAATTGTTTATTATTCTTAAAAGCTTATAAATTTTAGAATTTCGTTGAAACATTGACGTGCGCAGAGGGGGGGGCAGGGATACAAATCCCCCCCCCCCTCCAAAGCCAAAAAATGCAGATGCCGGATTATATTTTTCAGAAATATTATTGTTAATATTAAATTATATTTGTTAATATTTATTCCCATCTCATATATATTATATATATATATATAATTGCATTTATTTATCACATTCATCTACTAAGTTATTTTATCAATTAATTTCGATTTCAAGTTTTCCTTGGCGTAATTTATCTATTATTTTCAAATTTTAGTGGCGTAATATTTATCTAAATTTCTAGTCAAATAATAATTATCTCTGAAACTCCTTGTCCAACAGGGAGAAGGAAATTGTAGTCCAACGAGATCGAGTCTCCGCCATCAAGCAGTAACAGCTTTTATGGAGTAGAAGAGCCGGTTATTAATGCTATTACTGAAATATCACAATGGCTTGAAAGAAATATTTCCTCTGAAGCAAGAAAATTATTGGATTCAATACTTATTCCAAATTTTTTTTCTCGTTAGAATGTATTATTTAATTATACAACTATTTTATGTAATACTTTTCAAAAACATAACATTGACTTGATTAAGATGAGAATAGCGGAGAGCATTTTATTAGAACTCAAGGAAATTAAAGCTAATGTTGATGAAGAATTTCATATTTATATGTTATTGTTGAGTCAAAAGCAGAGCTATAAGTGTTTAATATTTGTCCCCCTCGACTTGCAGCAAGCAAGCTCATCATCAAAACATTAATATAGGATCAGTAGAAGAGTATTATAAAACAAATGTCCCTTCTACCAACCTTTTTCATATGGTGATAGAAAAAAAATATAAATATTTGTTAGATTTTTATCAAGAAGATGTTAAAATATCTTATGATGCCTTATTAGCTGAATAACTATGATTAAAGGATTAGATGGTTGATACAGACCCAAAAAATGCTATGGATGCTTTGCATTATTTCAAATACATTTTAGATTATACTCCCAATGTATTAAAATGGTTATATATATTAGCAGCTCTTTAGTAAACCAATGAGAGAACATTTTCTTTAAGAAGAATAACAGAGCCTTGCAGAAGTACCATTTGCAGGACACGGCCCAGATTTTTTTTTAAATTTTTTCCGGCCCGGGTTTTTTTTAAAAAAATTTCAGGCCCGGCCCGGCTTTTTTCAGGCCCGGCCCGAATTTTTTAACAATATTTATTTTTGATTTTTATAGCTAATAATGGCGATTTCAAATATTTGGTTTTAAAATATACAGCTCGGCCCAGATATTTTTTCTAAAAAAATTTTCAGGCCGCTCGGGTGTTTTTTTTAAAAAAATTACGGGCCCGGCCCGGGTATATTTAAAAAAAATTAAAATACGGTCCGGCTCGGGGGCCTGGCCTGCAAGTCTGTGAAAAACATACCTATGAAATACAACATCTGAAAGTAGATTGAATGATTTGGATCTTTTGAATATTCATAGGCATTTAACGCAAAGCAAGGATAGATAATTGAAAAATTAGCTCAAAACATACAAAATACAATTTTTCCTAAGAAATTTTTTATGTATTTAATTTATATTTCCAACATTTAAATTTCTTTATATATTTTGAAAGCTCAAAAAATTCAAATTTCAATTTTGGGTCATTTAAGTGGTTCATATCGTGGGTTATATTCACTTTATATTTTATAATTCACATTTATTTTATAGTTTTTCAATGCCGGTTTATATATATAATTTTTTTAATTTACATTAGTTTAAAATTGTGTATTAGAAAAGTTATTAGTCCTAATAAATTTATGCTTAGTATTTATAATTAACAATAATATTTCTTTAAAAATTTTATTATCCCCCCCCTTCCCCAACCTAATTCCTGCGTACGCGCCTGCGTTGAAATATCATTCATTAGCAGTAAATGAGGATGAGACCGAACTTTAAATAATAAAATTTCAAAATATTATTTTTGTTTATTTATTTGTTCACAATAATTTACGTCTTAAATGTCATAATTAAGAATAATATAATTCTACCCTTTTATTGTAAAATAACTTGAAAAAAAAATCAAATCCTTTCATTTCACTGTATAATCATTTTTATAAATTGAAAAATAAAAATTATAAGATGGTGTTTTTTACCATAGCTCTTATCCTGCTTACCCGTCTTCATGCCAAAATCTATAAATTAATATATATAAAATAATCAATAACCATAAATATTTATTTTTGATTATCATTTTAAGGCAATGATGGTAAATTAATAAAAAGCCTAAACATAAAAAATGCGTCATTTTTAGATTTCGATTTTAACAATTAAAAATACATATATGTATCAAAACTCAGTTTCATTTTTAGAGGTTGGGTCAAAAATGTTAATTAAATTAGTTAGATTTTCGGCATAGCAAAAGTGGACATTTCGAAACCTCGTCTGATTTCCCGTAAAATTAGTAATTTTTTAATGCCACCCTGAATATTAGCAGATAGTGGGTAGCCTACATTTTAAGATGCAGGCCGCGAAAACAAAATTTAAAAAAGGCCAGTGACTATTAAATGGGTATATTTCTGCAAGCCACAAATCAAAACCTCAAATTAAACAATATAAATTGAAAACTCGTGATAAAAGCGTAATCGAATTTGAATCCCCTAACATCTCCGCTCGTGAAACCTCTGAAATCCATATTTAAGGTATGACCACTGGACATGATAGAAGGAGGAACAGAATTCCCGCAAAATTCTTCTATAACTGATTGTTGGTCATTTGTTTTCGTGGCTATTTCTAAAACGTCGACGTCTAAACAACTACATCGATATTTTATTTATTATATGTAATAGTTTTATTTGAGAACCTTAAAAAAAAGAATGGAATATAAATTATTAATATTGGAAATTCGATGAACCATTTGATAGACCTTTATTTTGTAGAAAGAAATTGATATACCCCTTCCTTATAATCTTACAGAAATCGAATTATGATACTGAACTTGATTCAATCGTATTTAATATAAAATATTTATTTATTTGTATTTACTGATTGGAGTCATTTAAAGGGTGAAAGAGATCAAAGTCCAAAAATTTAATTTGCACCCGTTCCTTACCTTTCCCTATAAAATTGTATATGCATTGCATTCTTGGTTGGTATGGCTTTGGGTAATTTGGACTTGAGATTGTACCCGTCTGGGAAATGATGCTGCTAATTGTCTTGTCGCAAGTCATGCCTAAATGATATATTTATGTGTATATACGAAGGGAAAAATTGTTTTAGAAAATTTTAATAACTCAAAATCATAAAGCAATACCGTAATTTTTTTAAAAAAAGGAATATCGTAATTTCAATTTTTTATTTTATCAATTTAAAATATTTGGTATGTTATTTGAAGTTAAAAGCATGCTCCCTATAAAATTTCTTTTAATGGAATGAGTGTGCTAAAGCGTTAAGTGTAAGGGTTCAAGAATAAAGGACGGTCAGATAATTGCACTCTGAAAGAAGTGATTAACGCAGTTTGCAATAATAGGCCCATCCCAGTTCTTCTGCTTATTCGTTTCTGGAAATGGGTGATCAGCCATAATTCGTGATATCCACTCGATAATAGCACAATTATAGGAAGGGCCAGGTTTTATCAAATGGGAATTTACAACATTTTTTGCAGTTAAAAGACAACTGGATCTGAAGGCAGTTAAGGCAAGATCTGATACCAACCACCCATCTTGGTGGGTAAAGAGGCTTGATCACGCTATTTCATCGAATTTAATTTAAAATATTTTCAATTAGGACTGTAATTCCATTATCATAAACCTCGAGAGGTATGGGATATTTAAAAATGGGAATTGATCGAAGCGCCTATAGGATTCGAGGAATATTGAAAAAAAATTTCTAGAGGAAAAAGGATTTATTGGAGGGAAGAAAGGAAAATAAATCAGCCAACTCAAAAAGTGTTTCAAGTGTGGAATGTAGGAAGGAAGATATTGCTGTGTATCCCCCAACAAGAGCACCTAAATTATTTAGTTCCTCAAGAGTGGGCAGTTTGAAATGGTGTGAATTAGGTTCAATTGATTTGATAGAAATGAATTTGAATTTCTCAGGGTTGATAGAGAGTCCAATAACCGTCCCAGCCTTCTTGATTAAATTCACTGCTTTATTGACCTCGTCATTGGAACCACCATGGTTACCATCATTAATATACCAGGCATGCAAGGATATTGAACACGTCGAGTTAATGGATTTAAAGATGATACCTAAACAGAAAAATAAAAAAACCTAGAGGATCACCCTGGTATGCCCTCAATGGATGAAATTTTATAAATATCAAATTGCAGGGTGGAAGGCAGATGTAACAAGAATGAAAACATTTTGTGTAACCGGAGGACGGGGAAAAGAGTTCAAGAGGAACTCTGGAAGAAATTCCGTAAAAGTGTATTATAGGCATTGGGGAATTCAATTTTGACTAAAGACTCATTGGTGGGCTGATTTTCTAAATGTATTCTAGTCAAATGTACAACAGCTTTAGAGCCACCAGGGATCCCAACACCAAGTTGGAAAGGGCTTAGGAGACATGAAGCTTCATGCTTTATTCGAGAAGATATCATCTTGGCAACTAAGCGGCGAAAGATAGAACCCATTGCAATTGGTCTATCATTATTGGGCTTTTGAATTGCAATTAGCCTAGCACCGAAGAGGAATGGAGAAACAAAGCTCTGTACTTCACCTTTTAAAATTTTATTGCAAAGTTTGTTATTTTAGTAAAAATGGGAGTTTGTGAGCATATTGCCTTGGAGAAATATAGGGCGGATGCCATCACGACCATGGACAGAATCTCAATGAAAGGAAAGGATAGCTTTCCTCACTTCTTCAGAAGCAAATTTGAGAAGCACATGTTGAGTGAGGTTGTGGAGATATTGGGATAATAGTTGCAGTAGGGTGTTTTTAACAGAGCTTAATATATGTATCTTTGGAGAATCTGAGTGTACCTTTTATGTTGCGATTGTCAATTTTCTTGTAGAACAAATTGGCCTTCATCTCATTCAGTGAGGGTTTTCTTTTGTTTTTGATAAGCAATGGCATCCTGTATTCATGGAGATGAGGGGCAACATTCGATACAGCTTCCTTAATTTGCTGGGTAGGGGATTGATGTGAAGTTTTGTCGGCCATCCTGAAGGTATTATATCCATAGAAAAGGAATTTTAGCCATTCATGATGATAGAAAATCAGCGAAAGATTTAGCAACTAGCAATCTTGCACCTTTGGGGATCCTTGAAATGATATTTAGTTTGGAATGGCAAGAAAAAAAAATCTGAGAAGCAGGAATTTGAATTGTGTAAAGGTTTTCTGGAGTAATAATTTATTGACTGATAAGAGACAGTGGAGCAAAGCCAGAATGTGGATATCTGACTGAAGGTTGTCCATGAACTTGTAAGCATCCATCTTTTCTAATTTGTACTAATTTCAGACATGAAGGATAGATTTGTGAAGAAGACATAAAGAGAAATAAATAAATAAAAAGGGGTAAGAAAAAATTTTTGAACAATAAAGCAGAATATTAGAAGATATAACTTCAGGTTATGGAACAGCGCTTGTAATGACCTGAACGGTGGTGACTACCACAATGATGGGCACAAGTCAGCAAAAAAAACTGTATACAAATGAATAACTCTAAATTTACCCATTAAGGCATATATCATTGGTATGCTTTACTGTACACAATAAGTCGCGCAACTGAATAACGAATGCAAAATATAAGTGATACTGATATGCTCAGAATACAAGGTTTTAATTAAATAATAATAATAAATTTTTGAAAAAGTTCAGAGTTCATCGCGAATGGATTAAGAAAAATAAAATAGCACGATAAATAAAGCTGAATTTCGAATGCAACTGAAGGCACAACGTATGCACAATATCACAAATAAGTATTCAATGAATTGATGTACTCAGTACAATAGGTTTTTTAAAATAATTTTAAAAAGCCGTTGAAAAAGTTCAAAGTTCATCGCGAATGGATTAGGTATAAAATAATAGCGGATAAAAAAAGCGGAATAGCAAATGCAAAAAATAAAAGATCAATGATTGAATAGGAGGGTAAACGAATGCATAATACCATCAATAAAAATCGCATGAATTAATATGCTCAGTATAAGAGGTTTTTTAACTTAATTAAATTCCTTTTTTTAAAAAAATATTAAAACGTAATGTGCTACCTAAAATATTTATTTTTGAAAAAGGAAATTCTTCCTAAATTTGGAAGCGGAACCGAGATGATGTTGGAATTTGGAAACTCTGAAAAAAACCCGAATCAGGCCGACTAGAACCATCTAATAATATATATTTTTAAAAAAAGCAAACCAAAAGCTCTCTTTTACAAAAATCCTGGATACGCTTATGAGGGAGCATCCTTATATTAAAAAATTAGCAATTAATTTATTAAAGGTTATAAAAATTTATATTGTTTTTTATATTTTTACCCGTATATTTTATGGGAATATCAGAATAATTTAATGAAAGTGATTGATCTTTATCATTTGTTAAAACAAAATTAGGATTGAACGAATAAAATATAATATGCAGTAGTAAACTAATTGGGATAACTGATTTGAAGTATTCAAGATGCATCTAAGGTTTAGAATTGTTTGGATTGGAATGCCAGTGCGTTTTAACAAATTAATATTCCCTTATTTATTTCTTCTTTTTGTAGTTTATATAATTTATATTTTATTTTTAAATCCTGCAAAATAAAAACGAATTTTTTTTATATCCATTTTATTTATCCCATTATATCGTCTTCTAAACATAATATACTATTAAAACAACACACACATAATGTATAAAAATTATTATTCATGCATGCTTTAGCAAAAAAAAATTGTTAAAACGATTTAAAAAATAATATTTTATTTTTATTAAAAGCATTTGCTAGAATTTTTAATGAAAATATAAAATTATGAGAATTCAAAATTAAAATGTTTTTACTCCGCACATTTCTATTGATTTTATTTTATTTTTGTTATTTTATTATGATTTAAAATTAAGTAGATAGCTACATTAATTCCTCTTTTTTCAAAAAAAAAGTTTTTATAACCGCTAGCTATATTGATTTTATTTAATTTTTTTGGTGGTAAAAGACGGGAAAAGCTTTTTTGGAAGAAATGAGAAGGTATTTTTCATAAAGGTGTTTTAAATATATATCATTTAAAAACTAAATTATTCGAGTGTATCTCTTTTATTTCAAATAGCGAATTATATTAAAAATGAATATAATTTTCAATGTAAAATTATTCCATAAAAAGAATAACTCCTTACCCTTTTTTAATCAAATAATTAATTAAATAAACAAAATACAATAAATAAACAGTTTTAAAAATATCAAACGTTTTTTAAAACTTATCTCGTAAAAATAAAACAACCAATCTTATTGCCGCATTAATTTGCATTTTTTTTATAAATCTTATTTTTTTATATTTTAATTTTAGGTATAGGAAAAATATATAATTAATTTATCCTTCTTGCAGAACCATAGATATATGTGCCCCGACCGGAGCAAGTTTTCTAAACAGATTCATTTTTTAATTTCTTACTCCAGCTTCTCTTTTTATTTGAATAAATAATATTCCATACGTAACATTTTACAGGGTTTTCGAACAGAAACTTACAATATGAGAGCCCAAAATATGTAAATATTTTTTTATCCCGTTTACAAACATCATAGATAAAAATAATGTAAAAAAGTTAAATATCTTTATGTTAGTTAACCATACTTTCGAACAAGGTTCATTTTAACGGAACATTTTTTCATAAAATTCAAATTCTATTATACAGAGGGAATATAAATATGAATTTATTTATTTAATTGGGAGTGACCCATAATTGTGAAATGAATGGTTGTCAACCTCTTCCAAAGCAGTGCTTTCTAATTCAACCCAATTCAAGCTAGATATTGATGTGCCATAGAGTTGTGTATATTAAATATGGGCTAGGGCATGATTTGGACTAAGGTTGGATCTTTAATTATAAATTTTATATTTTGTAGATTCAAAATGACGATACTATTGTCAGGGCCTTAAAATCTGCTGACATCCCATCAACCCCCTTTACAATTCCGATGGTAAGCGGCCTGATGGTTCTATGATCCCTTGCGATTAGACAGCAAAAAATAAAGACAAAAAAAACGAATAAAGATGAGCAGAAGTCCAGAAGATCAATGGCTACCAAAGCAAAGCTTATGCT